ATTCCTGCACAGGCTGCTTTCAAGATGACCTTGAGTCAGTTTGTCGTGTGCCTTCTGGAAGCTTTCGCAGCAAGGCAGGTGACAGTAAATGGAGCTTGGCTCACATCCCTCACATGGATGCGCTAGGTCTCTCACCAGTTAGACCAAGAGATGTTTCAGGAACTGTATATCATGAGAGAAATGTTGTATTTCCCTAGTTCTCAAAGGTGTGCTCTAATTCATCTTTGCAGTAATCATTTTTAATTAATTCTACCACAATTCAGCAATACTAAGTAAATACAAAGATATGAGTTGTCAGTCAGGAATTCATCAGTGTTTTAGTGGGCAAGGTATCAGTGGCTCAGAAGTGTTCCTTTGCGATTAATCACACTATGAGATTACACATTTTGCTCTGGTTTGAAATTTAGAATTGATTAGTTAACGAGATTAGAATCCAACTGAGTCTTGGGAATAAAAGTGAATACAATTCACAGTGTGCTACAAATAATATTTTGCCGTAAATTACGAAAATCACATTTTATGATGGAATGAAAAGAATATACGTATATCCTTCTCAATGTAATGAATTACATTTGTGGTTATCCATTTGCCTGCTGTTCAATATCAGCATCATAAAAAGTGGAACTGCCAGGTCACAGATGCCTTTTGATGTGTCAGGTAAGACCCTTTCCCAAAATAAATGAATCAGGATTGAAATAAGCCCTTAGATTTTATAACCACTATTCAAGAAGTCAGGAGCTAGAAGTGAATATCAAACAATACCATGAGGATTCAGGGAGACAAATCGAGAATGTAGGAAATCTTACAAGCACATGATCTAGTTCCTTCGGCACTCGATGGTGTAAAAATGGATGAAATGCTATGATAGATTAAAAGGAGCACAAGAGGCATAATGACCAAATACGATGTGTGGGTCATATGTGAATCTTAATTTTGAAGGAAGCAATTATAAAGAGACTTTTTGAGGTGATCTGGGAACCAAACATCGACGTATTATAAATAAGGAATTACAAATATCCTGGGTTGATAACTCATAATGGAATTATACTTAAAAGAAGGAAAGAGAAGGTAGAGAGGAAAGAAGGAAGTAAAGAAGGTTTTAGCTCCATGAGAAACATAATGAAAGTACTTAAGGGTGAAATTAAATACTGTCTGGAATTTACTTTAAAATAATCCAGGAGAGAGGCCACACCGTGGTCTATGTATGGTTGGATGGCTGGACCCCACCTGAACTGACTGTGTGGTTAGAGTCTAGGACCCAGCAGCTTGACAAATACATAGCGGGTGTGTGCATGTATGCCCAAAATCCTGAAAGAAGGCAGGAATGGAGGAGAAAGAATTGCCGTGTGATCATTTTCCATGTGGGTCAGAATGCTTTCTTGTTTTCCCTCTCTTTCTCTGTGTCTCCTCCTGGTGAGTGCATGTACCCTCTGACCAAAAAACTAAAATAAAATAAAATTCCAGAGGGAAAAAAGGCAGTTAGGCAAGGCACAGATAAAAATGGTTGGCAAAATGCTAACAAACTATTAGAAGTGGGTGGTGGGTATTGGGTTCATTTTTCACTCTACTTTTGTATATATATTTGAAAATGCCCATGTTAAAAAGTTAAAAAATAAAGCTAGTGAGTGAATATTCATCATGCAGTACACAGCTGCCATCTTTCTGTCACATGATTATAATTTACCTGTTCCAATGGGAGCTTTGATGTCCAAGTAGGATCCAAAAGATTCTTTCTCTGACTTTTAGGGGCATCTCTCAGACGTAAAAAGAGCTCTTGTGCATTCACATTACACAGCTGACAAACCCCATGTTCAGTTTCAAATACTTTGGCTCGCAGGTAACCATTATTAGATCGAATCCAAAACTCCTCCTGACATTTCAGAGAGCAAAATCGTGAATCCCAAGCATTGGTTTTATCCTCTTGCTTAGTTTGGCAAGTGGGCTGCTGACAGCGGAGGCAAAGTGGGTTTCCTTCATTATTCACAGCTTGCAAATAGCCTCTGGATGTGGAAGGCATCCCAGTGAGAGCTGGTTGAGCAGTGCAGGGATTTAGAAATGGGACATGGGCCCCATCTTCAAGAAACTTTCTGTAATTGAACAAAACATTGAATTAGGTAACTAATGAACAGTTCCTTTAACCACTGCTTCACATAAAGGCCTTCAGTTTCTGTATTGACAAACAGTAAACATAGGGCCCACAGGTTTTGTGATTCAGTGTTGAAATGAAATAGCTAGTGTCAGTGCTGAGTATTCCATGTCAAGTCAAGAAGAAAGCAGTGATGTGTTTAAAAGAAATTAACTTGGGGACCAGCAGTTGGCATAATGGCTATGTTGCTGGACTCCCATGTAGCCAACAGCAGTTCAAGTCCCAGACCCAGTGGCTTAAACTCACACCGGGCACGTGTGCATAGGTGCCCAAGATCCTGAGAGGAGAATGGAGGAGAAGGGATTGTGGCATGGCTATCCCCTCTGGGGGGTGATTTCTTGCTTTCTGTCTCTCTCTGTCTTTCTGGTGAGCACACGCACCCTATAGCAAGTGTGGAGTGAAGTAACTGCTATAAAATCTCTTCCCATTAAAATAGGCCATGAAGTTAAAAATCATAGTAAATTATGGGGACCAGCAGGTAGCGTGTTGGTTAAGGTGCTGGACACTCCCGCATGGTTTGGATCCTGGATCTGGTAGCTTGCTTTCTCACTTTCCCTTGCTCTCTCTTTCTGTGTCTTTCTCTGGTCAAATTAAAAAATAAAATAAAATAAAAAGTTAAAAGTTAACTTGACTGCAAATATACTGCCACTCTTGGGAATCTGGATGCCTTCATGTTAAACACTGGATTGGAAACTTCTGGAGAAGCTGGAAAATTAGAAGTTAGAAAATTCTGGGACCAGCAGTTAGCATAATGGTTATGTCGCTGGACTCCCACGTAGTCAATCACGGTTAGTGTCCCGGACCCGGTGGCTTAAAACTCACACTGGGCTCATGTGTGTGTGTATGCCCAAGATCCCAAGAGGAGAAATGGAGGAGAAGGGATTGCAGCGTGGCCATACCCCCTGGGGGGTGATTTCTCACTTTTTGTCTCTCTCTCTCTGTCTGGTGAGCCCACGTGCCCTATAGCAAAAACCTCTCAAAAAGAAAAAGAAAAAAAGAAAGAAAGAACATTCTTCTTTAGGCTGGTTAATGTAGAACCCCAATGAAAGCTTAGTGACCACCCTGCCCTCTAACTCTGTGGAGTCACACACCTCATTAGGCCAGGAAGGGCATTACAAACTCCCTCTTCCAATTCCCAGCTTACAGAAAATGGAGTCTTCACAGCCCCCAAAGACAGAGTAAAATAGCTGATGGTGCCCATAGAAATCAGAACACAAGGCTTCATAATACTGTCACCTGAGAGCTGATCGAGTTAAAATTATAAATGAAATGCTGACTTGGTTAGAATCCAAGAAAAAGGTACTCTACTCGATCATGCTCCAAGGTCCTACATGGAAGTAACCGTTGCTTTGCCTATTTTCTGTAGTTCTTTGTTAAAAGGGTTCAAAGAAAGACTTATGATAGAAAAAGTTGAAGACTAGGGAGCAGAACCCAGATCTGATGTTAGTTTTCCTGACATCTACCTCCAAGGCCTGATGCGGGCACCTTGTCCAGCTGGTCTCAGGGTCCTTCCTTGTCCCCAGTTTCTAAGATTAGGAGAGCTTGTGCCTCACAAGTTGCTAAAAAGACTAAAGAGCTACAATGTCATGAAAGTTCTCTGTAACCTCTAAAGTGGCCACACAGGGTGAGGTATTACTACAAAAGCGAATGCATACATTTAAAGGAATAGTCTTGCTACTGCTGTGCCCTGATAGTTAAAAAAAAAAAAAAAAAGAACCAAAAAACCAAAGAC